CAAAATCAGGTGTGTTGGAGCAAGAAAACCTCTAAAACATGCAGGATGGCGGCCCACGAGGACAGGAGTTTGACACCCCTGCAATAGAGCATCTTTGGGATGTGGTGGAACGGGAGATTCGCATCATGGATGTGCAGCCGACAAATCTGCGGTAACTGTGTGATGTCATCATGTCAATATGGACCAAAATCTCTGAGGAATGCTTCCAGCACCTTGTTGAATCTATGCCACGAAGAATTGAGGCAGAAGGCAAAAGGGGGTCCAACCCGTTACTAGCGTGGTGTACCTAATAAAGTGGCCGGTGAGTGTATTATCTGCTGCAGGTAGGATGCTGTCTCCGCAGCGTGTCTCAGCCATCACTTCCCTGCCCCGCCCTGTCACAAAGAAGCAGTTGATGTCTTTTCTGGGTTTGGTCGGCTATTGTAGACATTTCATCATTAACTACTCACAGTTAGAATGGCCACTTAGAGAAATTTGTCACGCCCCTGGCTTGGTACCGTCTGGTGCTGTTTCTTGGTCCCCTGAAGGAGATGAAGCGTTTGTGGCTTTGAAAAAGGCCCTGCAGAGTGCACCATGTCTGGGAACTGCAGACACGACACTGCCATTTTATCAGCATGTCGACGAAAGATCTGGCTGCATGACCTCGGAGCTGAGCCAGATGCATGGTGATAAGATGAGACCTGTGGCTTTCTTTAGCGCTAAACTAGACGCAGTAGCTGCTGGGTTGCCTAAATGTTTGTGCGCTGTCGCAGCAGCTGAAATAGCGATTTTAGCATCACGTGACATCGTGGGGTATTCAGATCTGACCTTGTTTGTCCCCCACGCTGTAGACCAGATTCTAAATGAACAAAAAACATCACATCTTAGCGCATCATGTTATACGCGTAATATTGCGTGTCTCCTCGAAAGCCCTAATGTCAAAGTGCATCACTGCTCAGCTCTAAATCCAGCAACGCTGGTCCCTTTGTCCGACGAAGGACTCCCTCATGACTGCGTCGCACAGTTAGAGCTGAGCTGCAACCCTTGTCCGGACCTGTCTGATAAACCTCTGAGTCTACCTGAGGCTCACCTGTTTGTAGACTGTTCAGCACGACGGGACATGGGAACAGGTGAAAATAAGGTTGGTTTTGCTGTGGTGAATGAGAATGCTGATGTGATCTGCTCGTCCTCATTACCAAGTCACCTATCTGCTCAAGCAGCAGAACTGATAGCGCTAACAGAAGCGTGCAGATGGGCAGAAAATAAAAAAGTAAACATTTACACTGACAGCAGGTACGCATTCGGGGTGGTGCATGATTTTGGGGCACTTTGGAAACACAGGAAATTTCTGAAAAATCTGATTTTCACCAATCTTGAATCATAAGCAGGTGGCTGCACTGCTGGAAGCCATCCTTTTGCCAAAACAGATAGCAGTCTGCAAATGCACTGCTCACTCGAATGGCACTGACCCAGTTTCTGTTGGGAACAGAGCAGCTGACAGTGCAGCAAAGAATGCTGCGTACGGCCCACAAGTATTTACATTGTTTGAAGATAAGGCTGCAGAAGCCTGCTCGTTGAGAGACATGCAAACTTTTTCCACTTCTACAGAGAGGCAAGCCTGGAAGAAAGTAGGTTGCAGTTTTGAAAATGACACCTGGGTGGGCCCAAACTCTAAACCTTGTCTGCCAAAACATTTTTTCAATCATTTTGCAAAACTGTCCCGTGGTTTAGATCATGCTTCTAAGTCTGGCATGGTTTCTATGGTAAACATTCACTGGTTTGCCCCTGGTTTCACAACTGTTGTTCGGAAATACTGTCAGTCCTGCATGATCTGTGCTAAACTAAATGCAGGGAGACTGATTAAAGCTAAAACTGAAGCAGCCCATCCTGCACCTTCATGACCTTTTGAGCATTTAATGATGGATTTCATTGAGTTAAGTCCAGCTAAAGGGAAGAAATATTGTTTGGTTTTTGTGGACATGTGGTCAAAGTGGGTGGAGGCATTCCCAACGTCTACACAAACTGCTTCTGACGTCGCCAGGTGCCTGTTGACTGAAATAATTCCCCGCTGGGGGATTTCTGAAAAGATCTCAAGTGATAACGGTAGACATTTTGCCAATGAAACCATTTCTCAGCTAAGTAAATATCTAGGCATTGACCTTAAAAAGCATTGTGCTTACCATTCGCAGAGCGCGGGTGCAGTTAAACAGGAAAATGGCACGATAAAACAGAAACTGGTTAAGTGCTGCACTGAAACAGGTTTAACCTGGCCAAAGGCTTTGCCGCTGGTCCTTTTCTACATGAGAGCAAGAAGGAGGAGCAGGTGTAATCTTAGTCCTTTTGAAATCATTTTTGCAGTACCACCAAATGTGGGCTTGCACCCTGAAATATCAGCAGTCTCATTCACAAATCTGTGTGAAGATAAGATGCTGGCCTATTGTTCTAAATTGTCCTCTCTTTTTGACTGTGTTCGTTCGCCGGTAAAAGCTGCTCTCCCGACCCCGGCGGACCACCCCCTCCATGACCTGAGGCTTGATGACCACATCCTGGTGAAGAACCTCAGACGGACGCCAGTCTGAGGAACCTCAGATGGGCGTCCTGGAAATCCGACCATTGGCTGGGGCCTTTCCAAGTTCTCCTGGTTACCCGGACGGCCGTGAAGATCGCCGAGCGAGCGACTTGGATCCACATCACCCATTGCAGGAAGGTCCTGCACCCCCCAGAGTAGCACCGGACGGCACTACTCCTACATCTGAGCACGAGGCCACTGCTACAACATCGGCTCCTGTTTTGTGATCGGCTGATCACATATCCTTTGAAGTGGAAGATTACACCTGAGCCGAGAAAACTGTCTGGGTGCATTTTTGCTAGACTATTTTTTATGCTCACTTTCACCCCATTCACCTGTGGGCATGTTCCAGAACTGATTAATCAAGATGCCCCCCACCCGCCCGGTTTGAAAGCTCATTCCACTTGGATCAATGACTGTGCACACTGGCCCAATGTTTCTGTGACAGCTGGCACCACTAGCACTGTCATTTTAAACCCGTGTGACTATTTTTACTGTTCAGACATTACTGTTATGATCTGGGCTGAAATGTATGTCTGTTACAGCGTTCCTGATGTGTGCCCCTCCTGCAGTTCCTGGTCAAGGGCTCTTTGGACAACAGGTTATTCTGAATGGGGGTACACACTTGAAAATGATGTCTATGATATTAAGAACAGGATCAAAATCTGGAAAGTAAACAATACTTCTCCAGCCATTATGTTCCACGTTGAAAATGCTGTTTTATCTGACAGGTTTTTACACCATTTGTGCTTATCTCACTGGCTATGATGTTTGTGCACCTTTCTGGCTATCTGTTCGTGTCCCAATCTCCAAGTTATCTCCTGTTTTCAGGTCCTTAGACGCTGGGTTTCCTGGGGGGGCTGACTATTACCCTCCTGCTCTGCTGGTATGGCGTCTAAGGGTCAAGATGGCAATCTTTGGTGGAACACAGTCAGGTCTATTCTGCGCTTTGCTAGCTTAAACAATTCCTGCTATGTCTGCACCTTGTTTCCACATGATGCAAGCATGTCTCTTCCTGTTAGGCCTCGCKCTTTGAACTCTACTGATTTCTTATGTGCTTTGATGGTGATGACTCCTCCTTTCTTAAAGGGGTCCAACGGCTGGGCTTATGCTAGAACAGACCTTCCAGCACCACATGTTTCGTGTTGCCATCAGGGCCATAGATATCAGTGTGTTACGCACTGATGACTTTTATTTGAACCAGTGGGCGCTGTTCATCCCTCCTACAGCTCCATGTCTCATCTTTTTTGTGTTCACAGAGCACGGAGCCCTGATAGACTTTTTCTTGGTGAGACAGAAGGCTGTCTTCAAACTGTTGATAGTACCTGTGCTCCGCCCCCTTTTGGCATCTCTCCCTGCATTCGCTGTGTGCCTTCTAGGATTAAATCACACAAAATCTCTCCATCTTTTGCTGTCCAGGCCTATCTTCTTGCCTGGCCTGATGACCTGGGAGCAGGATGTCCCCAGGATTATGTCCGGTTATGTGGTGTTTACTATTACCAAGTTATCCCACTCAATTGGGCAGGTACTTGCACTTTAGTTGACCTGGCTCCTGCAATCAGTGCTAGATCAGCTTGTTTACACCACCCATCACTATCCTCAGTTTGTGCCTTCTTCTTATGGTGACCATAGGTCAAAGAGGTCGATGTTGGTTTCTACAGGTGAAAAGATAGTGGGTGGCATTTTTCCTTGGTGGGGAACGGTTCATCTGGCTTATAAGTTAGATTCTTTGCACACTCGTCTGGAGAACTTAACTGCTTTTGTTCAGGAAGGTTTTTCTGCCTTATCCCCCTTCCTGGTAGCGTCGAGGAATATGCTGCTCCAACACCACCTGGCTTTGGATCTTTTGTTAGCATCACAGGCAGATCATGTGTTGTGATACCTTGTCTAAGTTTGGACTTTTAAGTTTTTTTAAATTTTGACATGTTTTTGATCTTCGTCGATTTTTTCTGATGTGTAATGATGTTGTATTTGTCTTTAAGCTTTATTCCTGTTGTATTTTGCCTTTTTTGAATGTGTATGTTTACGTTCGTCATATAAATTACACTATTTTCCTTGTACTTCATGTTGGGGTTTTTTGCATTTGTGTTCAGACATTTGTAGCATTTTCCTCCTTTAATTAATAATTTCTGAATTAGATATAACTGGTCTTATTTTCTGCTTAAAGGAAGAAATCAAAATCCACTCGCTTCAGACTTTTTTTTAGGATTTTGAATGGAACTTCCTCTTTGTGCCTCGAATTAGCATATCTTACACCATCTCAACAGACATCATGATGCCTCAGAGAACAAACTGAAAGAATTTACATTGCCACAAGTCTCTGATGTTTCCACACCCCCCATCAGGACTCCCTGTCTGTTTTCCTTCAAAAAGGGGGAAGGGTCATAGAATGCCTTTAACATGACTTCAGCTTGACTGAGAACAAAGGAGCCTACATTCTTCATTAAATGTGAAAAAAAGAAGAAACCAAATTGAATGTTGTTATACAACTGTCTGTTTTCATATATCTTAATCAAAGAAATGTGATTTACCTGTTCCTTTTTACAGAAAGAACAAAACCCATTGAAGCTACTGTGTTCTCTTTTTAACTGTTTGCCCACTAAGGACTCACTAACTGTGTGGGTTTTTTTGATGAAATGTTTTCCTAAAGAAAGTGTGTGTTTTTATTACATGTTTTAATCTTAGAAAACTGTAGGCTTTGAATTTTAACTAAATGTGACATTCTTAGTTTACTGAGGTAAAATAGATGTTTTACCCTTTAATTAGATGCAAGATAATTAAACTAAAACACTCCCTTTTCTTTGTCTTGAAGCAAAGGTTTTCCCTCCAAAACATTTGATTTGTGATAAACTTGGTGTAATATTTTTCAAATGGCTAACTTAAACCTTGACTCTGCCCATAACAGAGGTCTTAAAAGTTAGTGCAGACAAAGGTACAGTAGTTCAGTTGGTTTCTCCCTTGAGTCCAGTGAATGCTTTCAGGAGTTCAGCAGGGGCCCCCTTTCAGCCCCCCCCCCCCCCACAGCTGACCAGGATTGGTGGGGGGGATCATTCCACATCTTCTGCTGATTGATTCGAATAGCTCATTCCATTTTGACTTAGTCTCTGAGTTTGATTTTATAGGAGTCAAATAAACTAATGGTAATTCATGCGTTGTTTTAGTTCGTGTTTCTCTACAAAGTGAAGATCAAATTAAGAGTCTTGCAGCCGCCTGGAGGACCAGACTACGAGTCACCAGAGAGAGACCCCCTTTTCTGACCCAGGGACCAGTCGAGTTTATCAGGCAGACCGCCTGATGTCCKGTTTGCATGGAGAGCTGTCTGGAAATGAACTCCAGAGATGAACTTCCACCGCTGACTTCACCCTCCTGGTACCCACAAGGCAGAACAAAAGGGTAAAGGTGAACATTTGTCGTGGTGACACACAGGTGCTCAGACTTAGATTTGATTTTTATCTTTGTATGAGATTTGGTAGACTAAACGTTTTTCTCGATCCAATTAACTTAGGAGTCCCTAGTTAAAACCACAGCTAAAGCAGCTTACCTCACCTCACTCTAAAGCAAAACTCACCTCTCAGTGTTTACTTTAGGCTTATTTGTTTTGTTTGTTTTTGTCTGTCTGTTCGTTTTTCACTCGTGATAAACTCTTTCGGTTTTTACCTGATTCAACATGTCATTATTCATTAATTACATGCCGTAGTTATAAATACATTTAATCTGTAAATAAATGGCTCGTGGAGAACTAGTCAGCATACGCTAATCTCATTTTTGTGTCTTGATAAAAGATATTTCTGGTTCTGATAAGACAAGAACTCATAAAATTAATTTGGGTAAATTTATTCTTAGACTGATTATAATAAAGTTACAGTTTTTCATTTCTTTCCTGGGTCAATATTTGATCAAATTAAGGAATGTGGTGCCTCGAGGTGAGCTTTAGAATATACCCAAATTCCCTACACATTTAATAATTATTCCTGTCGTGGCAAAGATGGTCAGAAACACGGCGAAAAGGGTGTTAAAAGACAAGTCTTGCGGGTATGATTTATAAAGTCATTTATTAATGGGCAGACATGGAACAGAAGACAATCACGAAGTCTGTAAGATGTGGGCCCG